AGGAGTAAATGAATAAATAAGTAACTATGTGGAGCAATAAAGAATTAGATGCGTGAATTCTCGGCCGCGCGGTTGCCGGGCTATTTGGATGCATCAATGCGTGGATGCGTGTCTGGATGCATGAATGGGTAAATGTGTATACATGGTTGCGTGGATCTACGAATGCGTGGATGCGTGGATACGTGGATGCCTGGATACCTGGATGCCTGAATACATGAATGCGTGGATGACTGGATACGTGGATGCCTGGATGTATGGATGCCCGGTTTTCCTAGATGCCTGAATATATGAAGGCGTGGATGCGTGGATGCCTGGATGCATGGATGCCCCGTTTTCCTAGATGCCAGAATATATGAAGGCGCGGATGTGTGGATGCGTGGATGCGTGGATGCGTGGATACGTGGATGCCTGGATGCCTGGATGCCTGAATGCCTGGATTTCCTGGATGCCTGAATATATGAATGCGTGGATGCGTGGATGCGTGAATGCCTGTATGCGTGGATGCCTTGATGCCTGAATGTATGAATGCCTAAAAATGTGAATGCTTTGATGTGCGGATGCGTGGATGCGTGATCGCGCAAATGTGTCATTGTACCAAATTGAGGATGATACCTTGAGTACGTGGATGCGTGGATGCATGGCGAATGTTTAGATATGCGGACGTGTGGATGTGTGATCGCACAAATGTGTCATTGTATCGAATTGAGGATGGTAACTTGAGTACGTTGATGCGCGAGTGCGTACGTGGATGCGTAGATGTGTGGATGTCTAGAAAAAAAATTAACTAAATTAATTAGATAAAATAAAATAAAATAAACCAAAATATGTAACTATGTAAATATGCTCCACGACCCTTCCCGTTTCCATTCTATTGACGACGTCAGTTCAAGATGTAAACGATCGTTCGAGGTTGACGGCAGATCAAAAGATGAGATTAATGTCTCTTTTTAAATAATTTAATGCTCGTCATTTGCAGACACTATGAACATGGGAAAACTGACGTGATGCTAAAAATACGAACTGTCTCCAATGACAAATTAGTATTTAAACGTGAGTTACGTAACAACTTTCACGCTAACTTAAAGTGCAAATATTTTCTCAAAGAGCAGTAGAGCCGGCTAAAGATACTTCAAATATTTAAAATATAAAATATACTTAAATCCAGAAGCCACTGATGAACTTATTGTTTATTGGTGTTGTTCGTTTGCATTAGAAGTATTTGCGTTTGTTTCCGCACAGCATTAGATTTTTATACTGAAATCATTGTTAGAGTTAACTGACAATGTGTTTTGTAACTTATAAACTCATGAACTCTTAATATGTCTCTATGCTTTCTAGATCACTTAGGAAAACAAATTCTAACCTGCTGGAAATCGATCCTCTTGCATTCTGTTCCAGTTGTCCAAGAGTTTAGGGATGTAGAACCTATCTGAGATCCATGGAGCTTTTCAGTAAAGGCGACCCAGTTTACTTCCAGAGACTTATTGCTGCCATAAGAAAACTCAAGAACGCACACGGTAAATTCACTCGCTTTAACACCTTCAACCCAGACTGCAGCGCCGTTTCGAGGCGTTTGGCTTTTCACGGTATGGCCAACTGAAGTTAGAACTGTTACTTGCTGTCCGCCGTAAAATGGAGTCTGGAAGTAAATCTTCTTACAAGCAAACAGCCCTGGTGAGTTTGTTGTTATATTGTCTTTTCCGGCCTTGAAACCGAGTGCTGTAAAGAAATACATTAATTAATTAAATTAATTAATTAATTTTATATTTACAGGGCCCTTATGGATACCAGCCTTAGAGCTGAATGGACCACCCTGTAAAAATAAAGATTAATTTACCTTAATACATCAAATGTTTTTTTTTTCTTCAAAATGATGACAATTAAAAAGTTTTAGCTGAATGCACTGCCAATGTTCTATAAATTAGCCTGTTGCTTGATTTGGAAAGAAATTTAATTCCCAATTTCCTTGATCTGTGCGCCCCTCCCTCACCTCTTAGTTCGCTTCTTGTCGCATCAACAAGACGT